TTGGAGGATCTGGACTTCGCCGATGATATATGTCTGATTTCCCACAAACTGGAAGATATGCAAGCGAAAAGCAACAAGTTGGCGATAGAAGAAGCATCCGGAGAAGATAGGACTTCAGGTGAACATAGAGAAAACAGAGGTGATGAAGATTCCTGGTCAACACCACCAACAGCAACAACAACAACAGACAACAATCAGCATAAATGGGAGGAACCTGAATGAAACAACCTCCTCTACCTACTCACCTGGCAAGCATCGTTTCAACTACAGGCGGACGGAACTGACGAGGATATCAAAGCAAGACAAGCTTTCACTACTCTCAAGTCTGTATCGAGGTCGACACTCAGCACTCAGCATGAGAATGAAAATAAGATCCACATTTTCAACTCCAATGTGAAGTCAGTGCTACTATATGGATCAGAGACTTGCACTGCGCGTCATAAAGAGCATCTCAAACAAACTACAGACCTTCGTTAACAGTTGTCTTCGCTCAATACTCAAGATCAGATGGCCGGTCAGAAAAGATCAGCAACAGGGAGATATCTCTGGGAGCGAACCAACCAGGAACCGATTGTGAAACAAATAGGCAGGAAGAAATGGAGATAGATTGGCTGGCCATACTCTGAGAAAACAAACCATCAAGTGACATCACTAGACAAGCCATCGCTCGAGTGGAACCCGAAAGGGAAGCGGCGAGTTGTTCGTCAGTGTGAGAGTGACATGGAGGAGGTGATGTGAAGCGGAGGTGAAAACGTGTGGGCAGACATGGAGCCAGGTGAAAACGTTGGCAGAGAACCGAACTCAATGGAGACGCACGGCTGAAGCCATATGTTCCTCTAGGAATTAAAGGATACAATAATAATAATAGTCAGTGAATAACAGCCTCAGTAATCGGTGTTGATATAGGCGATCCGACTGACGTATTTTGGCATTTAATATATTTGACTGTTGAATTGAAAGCATATTACGTGGCAGAAACTTATGAGCTCCATTCATTCATTTTTGGTATTTTAATCTTTATGGGTTTGCAAAGGTGTTCATTATTTTTGCATAGTTCACTAATGATTACTTCTGCCAGGTATAAGACTACGTCATCAAATGACAGTGTAACTTCTTTGTTCCCTTCAAATGAACTGTCGTCAAGATTTGACAGAATAGTTCTAAAATATTTGGGCGCCGAGTGAGAAGTAGACATTTGTAAAAAATTATATTTGTAAAGTCTCAGCGAGATTGAAATGAGTAATTCCAACATTTCGTTCGGCAATCTGGTCCGAACTTCTTCAGGGAAATTAATCGAAAACAAGTGTTGTTCCTTTTTATATATAAACCTATGTTATGCTAATTTCGATTAATTTCCCTGAAGAAGTTCGGACCAGATTGCCGAACGAAACGTTGGAATTACTCATTTCAATCTCGCTGAGACTTTACAAATATAATTTTTTACAAATGTCTTCTTTGTTCCCTAGTTAAAAATATCTTAGATTTCTTCCAGAAAGTGACTAGTCTCTGCAGAATATTTTATTTTCCTGTATAGTTTCTTTTGCATAAGTTGTGCATCAGGAGTGTAACGACTGGTTAAAGACTGATGATTAATTTATTTTAAGAACCCCATGTCTCTTCCTGGAAATAAGAACAGACTACCTGTTTGCATTATTTAAGATAAAGTTTTAGGCCAATTTGGTGTTGCGTCTTGGACATATTTATTATTATATTATTATTGTTCCCTTGTGTTCCTAGTGGAACATAGGGCTTCAACTGCACGGCTCCACTTGCTTCTGTCTTCTCCTGTACTTTTCACCTGCATCCATGTTAGTCCATACTGTTTCAACTCTTCTTCACACGATCTCCTCCATGTCACCCTTGGACGTCCCACTCGAGCATTGGCCTGACGCGTGATGTCACCCAACGGCCTCCTCAGCGAGTGTCCAATCCATCTCCACTTTCTCCTGCATATTTGTTGAGCGATTGGTTCTTGTTTTGTTTGTTCCCATAGTTTCTTGTTGGTGATTCTTTCCGGCTGGCCATCTGATCTTCAGTACAGAGCGAAGACAGCTGTTGATAAAGGTCTGCAACAGGCTGTTGGAAATATTCTTTGTGACCCACCAAGTTTCTGATCCATCCGTATAGAAGAACTGACTGACTTGACGTTTGTATTGAAAATCCGAATTTTGTTGTTGATTCAGGCTGAGTGACGAAGATTTCCAGATTGGTTTCAGGTTGATGAATGTGTTTCTCGCCTTCCCGATTCTTGATTTGACATCCTCGTCCGTTCCTCCTGTAGTTGAGACAATACTCCCTAGATAAGTGAATGAAGTAACCTCTTTCAAATCCCTCCAGTTGATGGTGATTGGCGCTAGACATATTTAAGTGAAGTGCAAAATGACCATGTAATTGGTGACACTGACTGCAAACATATCACAATGTGGTGATTTATCCAAGTCATGAACAACAAAAACTCCTAGATTCGTATCTTCCCTGAAATAAGGCAGTGAAGATTCATCCAAGAATAACAAAACTGTTAACCAAAGTTGACTACACAACTTTTGTAAGGTACTAGTCCCCAAACTCTGACGTCTAAACCATGCTGTCAATTAATCTAAGTCATTCATTTATTCCCCTTAATGAATTTGAATAAAGCAAGAACAACAGTTTTTGCAGAATAAAATGGTACCATTATTTATTTCGTTGGGTATTCATCAGCTGCTTACAGGCCAAAGTCATTATTAAATGTAATAATAATAATAATGATTTACTTTATTCCAAAAACAGTACTTGTGATACAGAATGGAATTTTCAGCATCTATAGAAACAATTTTAACATACTTGTACAGAATTCATTTTTAAACAAAAATCAATCGATCAATATATGCATAGAGTGATATATATATATATATATATAATATTAAACACTATTCCGAACAGTAATGATCATACACAATGGAAACTTTCGACATTACGTAACCAGACGAAAGAGAGGTGAAAATATCCAGTTAACAGGGTAAAGAAAGACTGATAACCGCTTCTTTCTGGACGCATAAATCAGGTTTCAGGCGCTTGATGGAGATAGCTTCAGCAGACTTGAGGAGAATTGAACTCTTTTGCGAAGTCCACCCGATGACCCATGTCAAGAAGATGCCTGACGATAGAGCATTTGTTCCCTTTAGACATAAGCTTTTCAATACATATTCAAAAATTGTAGATATGCCCTTCTTTCTGTTCTTCCAATGTAACTGCTCCCGCAGATACATGTAGATTTGTATATACAGTTGGAGTTAACATGAGAAGGATATCTATCGATTTTTGAATGCATCAAAGAGCAAGTTGTTAGACAGACGGGAACGAGCTTAGCTGCAGGATAGGCTCTGACTAGTGACGTACTCAGTCTTCTGTTGACCATTGTTGCAATGTTTTCACCTTTATAATCAAGTTGAATGTAGATGGGCTTTTTCTCCACTGTGATTTGTTTGACATTTGAGACTTCAGATCTTCCGTACTTGTTAATGAATCTTTGAGGGTAACCATTACTTTTCAACATCTTTTCGAGAAACATAAATTCTTCCTCTAATTTCTCTATAGAGCATAATCTCCTAGCTCTATAGTATAGAGTCTTGACTAGTCCACGTTTAAAGCTATTTGGACAAAAACTATTAAAATCTGGGTATTGTCCTTTCCAAGTAGGCTTTCGGTAAATTGACTTCTGAAGACTACCATCTTCTAGGCGTTGCATAGCAAAGTCGAGGAAGTGGAACTTTCCATCACTTTCATGTTCCATAGTAAATTCAATATTGGTATGTGCATCATTGAATAATCTGAGTAAGTGGGAAGCATGACTTTCATTGTTGCACACTACAAATGTGTCATCGACATATCGACTGAAAGAAGAGAGAGATAATTGAATAGTGTCCTGAGCTACCTCGCAAGTAACCGGTTACCACTAGGAGAGTTACCCATTAACCCAAAGCCTTTGCTTTCTCTCATGTAGATAGTTTCAGAGTTACTAGCGAGTACTGATGTCTACACCGAAACTTACAAGCTTCCTTACTAAACCTGACTGAAATCAATAAGTAGCATGTTGACAACCGGTTTATTGTTCCTAGCTTACATTTGTCTCTCTTTAGTTATAAGTAAATTAATTGGACGACAGTGCTTCTCTCTGTCTACAGCCATCTTTGCGATGAGGCAAACAATGACATCTTTCCATTTCCCAAGTAACCTAACCTGAAATACAGATATGATGAATGTGTCCT